CACGTGAGAGGTCCTTCGGGCGTGGCCTCGGGGGCAAGCCCCCTGAGGTGCCCCCGGCAATCCCCTCCCTGGGGCACCCTCGCCCCCATCATTTGGAGGGACAGGCATGTGCATGGAGATATATATATATATATCGATAGACAGGTGCTCCATGTTCCTAGTGGCACTCACCTCCACACGACAGAGGATATATATATTGCGCCCGGATATATATATATGTTGTGCCGGGGGGGCCGCGATGGGGCCCAGTGCCGGGCTCTCTCCGCTGGCTACCGCCATGGACGGGGCTCTATGCATACTACCCCCCATGCAAAGCCCCGCCCACGCCGGCGCCCGGAAGGTGGCCGTCGAGGTCGCCCGCCCAAGCCCCCGAGCCAACTGGCGAGTAGCCAATGTGCCTACACTCATCATCCCCCTGTCCCAGGGCTCTCTCCACTGGCAAGCCTAGGGGAGGGGGCCCTGCGTGTAGTGCCCCCCGTTCGAAAGCCCCGGCCTGGGTCCCCCGGAAAGGTGGCCCCGCCTGAACCCCCCCCCCCCCCGGGCCCTCGCGCCTCGCGCGGCTCCCCCTCTCCAACTGCCCTCGCCCCGTCGGCCAGAGCGGCCAACTCCCCCGCCGCGCCAACTGGCGCCCTGCGCCCCCCACGCTGGGGCGCGAAGCACCACCGGTGGCGCCCTCGCCCCGGGACCGGGGGACCGGGGCCCGCCTGCAGCGCGTGGTTGCGTGGGCACCGGCGTGCCGGGGTGTCCTACCGCGAGGGTCACCCTGCCAGGGCCCCCACCGTAAGATCCCCCGCCGCCCCGGCATTCCTCGCGCAACGCAACGCAACCACTGTCGCGGGCCCTCAATCCCTCAGCCCCGGGCCGTCGGGCCCTGGTCGCTTCTACACAAACCCACCGACCCCACTTGGGGGGTAAAAATTGAAAATGCAGTACAAGTGGCTAGAAATTGCTCCGGGGGGCAATTTTTGTATGGGGCTGGTCCGTGCACGACCAAAACACCATACAAAGTGGGCCACCTTTTTGGAAAGCTGGGTGACATTTCGGATTTTTGGAGGACTTGGTCGTTTGAGAAATCGTAAAGTCGCGTGATGGGCCCACCACGCCCAACTTGAAGGCCCCATTTCTGGCCCCCTGCTGCCGGGCTTTCTTTTCTGGCTGCCGCTATGGACGGGGCACCGCCTCTACCACCCCCCATCAAAAGCTCCGGCATCCCCAGTGCCGAAATGACTGGCCCCCTCGCGCCGCCCTTTCGACCCCCCGCCCAAGCCCCGAGCCAACTGGCGAGTAACTAGTGCCCCCCATCCCCAGCCTCCTGGTGCCGGGCTTTCTCTTCCGGCCACTGTCATGGCCGGGGCTCTGTCTATAGTACCCCCCATGCAAAGCCCCGGCGGCGCCCGCGGCGGAAAGGTGTCCCCGTTTCCCCCCCCACCCCGGGCCGAAGTCCATATTTCCAGCCCCCTGGTGCCGGGCTTTCTCTGCCGGCTACTGCCATAGACGGGGCCCCGTCGATACTCCCCCCTATCAAAAGCCCCGGCGCCCCCAGTGTCCGGAAGATCGGCCCCCTCGCGCCCCCCGAGCCAACTGGCGAGTGCCCAGAGCCTCCGTCCCCAGCCCCCAGGGCCCAAGGCCGCCAGTCAACTGGCAAATACCTCAATCCCCCCAATCCGGCAGCCCTGGAAACCGCCGGCGTCAATCGCCCCCCTGCCAAGGTGCCGTATGCTAACCCGGTCGTTCCCATGGCCGATGAACCAACTGGCTAGCAGAGTTGCCGCTCAGACACGGGCCCGAGGCCCGCCATCCGGCTTCCCCCTCCAAGCGCCCGGCACTGCCGGAACAAATGATGGGGAGGTGTAAAACCAACAAATCTAGCCAAGGTCGGGCTGACGCTCAGCGACTCGTAGCAACAAGGCTACTTGACCGCTTACACGACCCGCTTGGTCACTTCAGTCGTCTGCAGAGGATCTATCCCCGCGCGAGGTGACATTACAATCCGCTAGCCAGCTCTCGAGGGTTTCTCCCCGGGAGCCGTCGCCAGCCTGCTGAGGTGCATGGCCCGAAGGCCTATTCGTATCCAACTACGACGTGCGGGGCGAAATCGCCGCGTTCCGGCACGGATTCTGACTTAGAGGCGTTCAGCCATAATCCGGCAGATGGTAGCGTCGCGGCACTGCCTGGTCAGACAGCCGCAAAAACCAATGCGCCAAATAGAGTCCGATCGTATGTCGATGCTGTCAAGAATGCACCGCCGCCGACGCATTTTCTTTCGAGTCATGGGTCGGCGTCGACCAGCCCCGCAACGCCTTCCGATCTCCTCCAGGACCGCCAGGTCATCGTCAAACTGGGTGATTCCGACGGCGTCAAGCGCTTCCGGACCCAAACCCCTGCTGAAATCACGAAACTGGCGGAAAAGGCCCGGGTGAAGGGTGCAAAGGCCACGTACGGAGTCACGATAGCCTCAGCCAAATTTGTCGCAGCCAGACAATTAAAATCGGCAGATATCTCGCTCAGCCTACGCACGGCGAAGGAAGCAGAAATCATGCGATGCCAACGGCAAGCGTGGGTGAAGCACTTGTGGAAGGATTCGGAAGTGCGTTTGCCGAGCTGGGGGGTTGTCGTTCACGATGTAAACGTACGGTCTCTCGGGATACAAACGGCGGCGGATATCAGGGATCGGAAGCAAGGGATCATTAAGCAATTGCTCACTGAGAACCTGTGTAACTGGGGGGATGATGCAGAAATCACCCAGAGTGCCTGGCTTGTCCTCCCGAAGGCAAGAAATCCGGCTCCCTGATTATCGAATTTACCTCACCGCACACTGCGAATAAAGCAATCGATACCGGCACTCTCTGGGACTCAGAGGTCCTTACCACGGTCTTGTACGACCGTGCTGCGCGTATACGCTCTTAGCATAATAGTGTATAATAGTGTATAATATAATAGTATAGTATATTTCTATTATGGTAGGAAGGAGATCATATATAAATTACTGGCTCTATCTAGGAAGAACCTAGATATCCTATATATAGTAAAAAACTATAGGGGATTGATATTCGTACCCCCCTATGGATAAACGTACCCCCCCCTGCCTGCAAAATCAGGCATCATTGACCGCCTTCCCCACCGCCTTCCTTTTTTTATACACCGCCTTTATGTCAAACAACCCATATAATACTAGCAAGACGGCGGATACCTACAATTTATATGTAAACCCTATATAAAATTAAGTCACTTTTGTCACATAACACTCCGTACATACATAGGACTAAACCAAACAAATTGATATTCCAATTCTGGTTTACATACATTAACCTGCCTTCTTCAACCCCATTTTTTCATCAATATCTTCACAAATGCATTCAAACCATCAAATTGATCGTCAATATGGCCTCTCTAAGCCTTGATTACCTGGATTCGGATCTAGATTCCGACCCTGAGGTCATTCCCGAGTCCCCACCCGCCCTGCCAAGCACCCTGCCAAGCCCGGAGATAGGCACCGAGCCAATCAACCTACCAAGCACCGAGATACCCCTTCCCCCTCTCGACCAGTCATATGCCACACCAGAGGCTGGGATCACTGCTATCAATGACCATGGCCGCGTCTATGGTTATGCAGTGATAAGCCGACGTTCAAAACGTACGAAGAAAGGTGTTAAGAAGACTATTCGGCTGTCCTGTGATCGATGGCGAACGATCCCTCCAGAAACCCAGGATGATCTTTCTGTTCCTGATACGAATCTTTCTGTTTCACGGAATCCCACAACCCTCGCTAATAAATGCCCGTTCGCTATCTCACTTCGGCTCCAGCATAACACCGGAACTTGGAACATCACAGTCGAAAATCCAACCCATAACCATGGCCCATCCCCCCGTCAACCCACCCTATCCATCGCCACCGAGAGCTTGTTAGCAAGGCTGATGAAATACAGCAGCAAATCAAGCAAGGTATCCCTACCCGTCGGATTCTTACCAAGCTCCGAGAGAGTGATCTAGATTCTTCCCTTACACCCCGTGATATCTACAATTTTCGGAAGAAGATTAATATGGAATTTCTCGCCGGCCGTACGCCTCTTCAGGCATTGTTGATAGAGCTCCCGAAGGGTAGAGAATGGATCTTTAGATACGAAGTCGACGATGATAACCATGTGACCGCGTTATTTTGTATGCACAAATCGAGTGTTATAATGCTAAAATTGAATCCCTGGGTTATCTCGATGGACTGCACGTATAAGACTAATCGGTACGGTTTACCTCTCCTTGACATTGTTGGTTTTGCTTCTACCGGATTAACCTTTCATATTGGCTTTGCCTTTATAAAGGATAAAAAGGACGATAGCTATGAAGTTGTTTTAAATTGTCTTGCTGAGGCCTATGATTCCCTAGGTCTTGAATACCCCCATACGATTCTTACGGATAAAGAACAAGCGTTAATGGATGCTATCGACACCGTGTTCCCGAATACGAAAGGTATGCTTTGTATCTGGCATATTAACATATACATCTTAAAGAAAGCTCGACCAATTCTCTCCGACCAGATCGCTAAAGCTCGACGAGAAGCCAGCACCCAGTCAACCAACCAGTCAACCACCCAGGAGAGCACTCAGCAGAGCACCCAGTCAGCCTCCCGGCGGAGAACAAAAGCCGAATTAGAGGAGGAACGTCGCCAACTTGATAAAGGCTAGAAGCAAATGCTTCGACACTAGAACCGAGTTGTTTATACCACTACTATTGAAGCAATGAATCACCAATGGGAGCTTTTCAAAGAGCGCTATAAGGATCCAATCTTCCAGCCATTAGTTGACTACATTGAAAAGGAATGGCTCTATGACTGCCCTAAGAGGTTTCTTCATATTCACACCGCTCACTATCTTCATCTCAGAGAGATAGCCACTTCTCGAACTGAATCAGCTCATTAGCTCCTAAAGCAGGACCTACATGTCTCAACAAGTGATTTACTAGTTGTTCTTCAGGCATTTGAGCGCGCGGTCAAGCTTCAATTCAGAAAAATCCAGGACGAGATCGAAAACAACAAAATCAGAAGGCCAACTAAAGTTCTACCCATTCATAGACTACTAATTGGAATAGTCTCAAGCAAGGCAATTCAACATGTGAAGGACCTTCGCGCACATTATCTTCCAGAGGGAGACGATAAACCGCCTATTCCACCGTCATGCACCTACAATTCGAAGCACACATCTGGATACCCGTGTATTCACATAATCAAGGAGTACGAAGATGAACACAAGTGTCTTGAACCTGAGCTATTCCATCAACATTGGCATTTACACAGAGTATCTGCTCCCCCAATCAATCCTATCCTTCTTCTTCAAGAGCCTCTCCAGGTTCGACGACGAGGGCGTCCCCGAGGAGCGAGAAACTTCATCAGCCAGTCAACCACTCAGCAAGCCATACAGGAGAGCACCCAGGATATCCTCTCTTCGCCAGATCCTCTCACCCAGGATCGATCCACCCGGCGAGAACCATCAGCATTCGAACATGTGCTTTCGCAGGAAGGTGGACGGGGACGGGGACGTAGACGGGGACGTGGACGTGGAACTAGCAGTGGTGAAACTGCTAGTGCTGAACCTACAAGCACCGAAGAACGGGGACGTGGTCGAGGACGGGGACGGGGAGGAAAACGCGCGCGGGGGGTTGCATAAGAAGCAGGATGATCAATATGTAGATTTTCAAGGCAGGAATCAGGCAGAATGTACGATTTTTTCTCATTAAAATGCAGTGTTTTTTACTATGTAAACCAGAATTATATGGTGGTGGCAGAATATATGGCAGAAAACTCTGTAATGGCAGAAATATATGGCAGAATTCAGTGTCGCACCAGATCGGGAAGGCGGTAGTAGTATGCACCTGATTTTGCAGGCAGGGGGGGGTACGTTTATCCATAGGGGGGGTACGAATATCAATCCCCAAACTATATTATGACTTCCTTTCTAATACCATAGACAATGAGATTGAGGGAGAGAGAATCTAGGAATCTACGATGAAATAGTAGATGCTGGAAAATCTCTAGATGCGTGGAGAGAGGAAGAAACTATCTACAGGCTATCTGGGACTAAAGGCTAGGAGCAAACAGAGAGAGGGGGTCACGTGATCTCTGACAGAGATAATACAGATATCATAGATTATATCATACTGAGGTAATAAAGATAGGGTATTGATGCTACCACCCCCCCTTGGATAATACCACTCCCCTTTGGATCATACCACCCCCCCCTGCCTGAAAATTCAATACCGCCTTCCCGATCGGGTGCGACACTGAATTCTGCCATACTTTTCTGCCACTGTAGAGTTTTCTGCCATGTATTCTGCCACCACCTTATAATTCTGGTTTACATAGTTAAAAACACTGCATTTTAATGAGAAAAAATCGTACATTCTGCCTGATTCCTGCCTTAATACTCTACATATTGATTATCCTGCTTCTTAGGTATCTCCCCGCGCGCGTTTTCCACGTCCACGATTACCACTGCCAGTCTCACCACTACCGGTTCCCCGTCCCCGTCCCCGTCCCCGTCCTCGACCACGTCCACGTCCACGTCCACGTCCACGCCCACCTTCTTGCGAAAGCACATGTTCGAATGCTGATGGTTCTCGCCGGGTGGATCGATCCTGGGTGAGGGGATCTGGCGAAGGGAGGATATCCTGGGTGCTTTGCTGGGTGGTGGTGATTAAGTTTCTCGCTCCCCGTGGACGTCCCCGTCGTCGAACTTGGAGAGGATCTTGAATAAGAAGGAGAGGATTAATTGGCGGTGCAGAAACACTATGTAAATGCCAGTGTTGGTGGTATAAATCAGGTTCTAGGCTCTTCTTCTCTTCGTTATATTGCTGGATGATATGTATGCATGGGAATCCAGACGTGGCCTTCGAATTGCAGTTGCATGATCTAGGAATTGGTTCTTTGTCCGGTGCCTCTGGTAGGTATCGTTTGTAAATGTCATTTGTGTGCTGTATCGCTTTTAATGAGATTCTCTTGACTAGTCGTGAATAGAGCGGTTGACAATGTGTAAGCATTTTGATCTTCTCGTCCTCGATCTTGTTCGTAATTCGACTGAATTGTAGTTCGACAACGCGCTCAAAGGTCTGGAGAACTACTAGCAAGTCATTTGTGGACACTAGAAGATCCTGCTTTAGGAGCCAGTGTCCTCCCTCTGTACGAGAAGTAGCGATTTCATTGAGATGAAGGTATTGCTTTGTGTGGAAATGAAGAAACTTCTCGGGGTAATCATCAATCCATTCAGCCTGTATGTAGTCGAGAAGAGGACTGAAAATTGGATCGGCATATCTCTCTTTGAATACTGCCCATTGTGTATTGAAGTCATCAATTGTTAGGGCAAAGACGACTCGGTTCCATCGCTTTAGCATCTCCTTCCAGCCTTCGTCAACCTTCTGTTGGAGTTCTTTAGCTTCCTGGTCTTTTGTGCGACGGCGGTGGCGAGTGGAGGCTTGGGTTGAATCGGTTTGGGTTGAATTAGACTGGCTTCTAGCTTCTTGGATAGCTTGTTTGAGTTGATCAGAAAGTAGTGGGCGTGCCTTCTTCATGATATTCATATTGATATGCTATAAGCAGATCATATTCTTCGTCTCTGGGAAAACATCCTCAATTGCGTTCATTAGGGCTTGCTCCTTATCGGTTAGGATTGTACGGGGGGGGTTAAGTCCAAGGGATATGTAGGCCTCAGCAAGGCACTATAGGACAACTTGATAGCTATCCTCCTTCTCATCCTTCATAAAAGCAAAGCCGAGATGGTAGGTTGAACCAGTAGCAGAAAAACCAACGATGTCTAGCAATGGCAAGCCATATCGATTTGTCTTATACGTACAATCCATAGAAATTACCCAGGGGTTTGATTTCAACATAGCGATGCTTGTTTTGTGCATACAAAACAAAGTGGTAACGTGGCTCTTATCGTCGATCTCATACTGAAAGATCCAATTACCATCCTCTGGAAGCTCCATCATCAATGCTTGAAGAGGGGTACGACCCTGAAGGAATCGGCTCTAAACCTTCTTCCGGTAATTGTACACATCACGGGAAGTCATATAAGAATCAGGATCCTCGCGTATTCCAGTGATGATCTTGCGGGTAGGCAGCCCTTGTTTAAGCATCTTCTCGAGATCCTCGGCCTTTGTGAGAACCTCCTGTTTCCGGTGAGCGGGGTGGGTTGATGGTGGCGATAGTTCATGATTATGCGTAGGATTCTCCACAGTTAGGACCCACTTTGTATTTGTATCCTGAAGCCGAAGGGAAATAGCGAAGGGACAGTCGATTGTAAGTGTAGTTGATTGGCGCTTACGCTCTACACCATCGGGACCCCGGTTTCGGTATGTACGACCGCGGTCACAGCATAGTCGAACCGTCTTCTTTACCCCTTTCTTTGTGGTTTTTGATCGGAGGGTTGAAACGGCATATCCATGTGGCCTAGCGAAGGAATTGATTGCTGCGATTCCTTCCTCTGGGGTGCTAAAATGCTGGTCTAACGGGGGAAGTGGGAATGTGAAGGTCTCGGTGCTTGGCTCGGTGCTTGGCTCGGTGCTTGGCATAGTGCTTGGCATGGTGCTTGGCATGGTGGGTGGTACGGTGATTGGCTCGGTAGGTGGAGACTCGGGAACAACCTCAGGGTCGGAATCTGGATCCGAATCCAGATAATCAAGGCCTAGGGAGGCCATATTGACGGTTTTGGCGATAAAATCGATAGAAATGATGAAGGTATTGATGAAGAAAATGGGTTGGAAGAAGGCAGGTTAATGTATGTAAACCAGAATTGGAGTATCAATTTGTTTGATCCTATCTACATGTATGTACGGAGTGTTATGTGACAAAAGTGACTTAATTTTGTATGGGGTTTACATATAAATTGTAGGTATCTGCCGTCTTGCTAGTATTATATGGGTAGTTTGACACGAAGGCGGTGTGGAGAGCGGTAAGCAGAAGCAGGCTTCAATTCAGTGTCGCACCCGATCGGGAAGGCGGTACTGAATTTTCAGGCAGGGGGGTGGTATGATCCAAAGGGGGGTGGTATTATCCAAGGGGGGTGGTAGCATCAATACCCTAAAGATATCATAGATTATCTCATCATTTGCCTCCTAATGAACTATATAAGAAGCAAAGACTCCTATATATAGTAAAAAATTATATTATGACTTCCTTTCTAATACCATAGACAATGAGATAATACAGATATCATAGATTATCTCATCATTTGCCTCCTAATGAACTATATAAGAAGCAAAGACTCCTATATATAACAATAATCAATCTTACCATCGCCATCTGAGTTACCTATTTAGGATAAGTATAACCACATACATATTTATATATATATTATATAATGTCTTATATAATATATATAGCTTATCTAATACTACTTCCCTATAAAATATTATAACCTACCATTAGGCTATAATATATTATCTGCTAAATTGCTTACACATACAAACTAGCTAGGAATCAAAAAGGGAAGGTCATTAAGGCGGCTCTTCGACGTGGATTAAAACACATACCTCTGCGCGAACCTAATTTTTGAAATTGCACCACAACGCCGAGGGCTACGGTCCCCATTTTAAGTGCAAGCTAATTGTAACTTCCGGCTCCATCTCCTGATACCAATTTCATATTGGTGGAAGGTATGGTGGCGCCAGGAAGCCAGTGGCCGCCACTTTCAGGGGGCCGCGAAAATTCTGCAACCAACATCAACGAGCGTATATTGGATGCAAATTACGACGTACGCCAGTTGCTGAATCATATCAGCAGTAATAACTCTCTTAAAGTCCCGAAACCGGTGTTGGAATATCTTAAATCCATCCAGGAACTCACCACAGACCTGATCAAGAACCCAATTGGCCAGGACTGGAAGCAGCAATTTGAACAGCTACGCCAGGAGACCAGCCAGATAAAACAAGATATCCATGCGGTGAGAATTGCATCCTCGAATACGCCGAATAGAGTCCGATCGTACGTCGATGCCGTCAAGAATGCGCCGCCACCGACGCACTTTTTGTCCAGCCATGGGTCGGCATCGACCAGCCCCGCAACGCCCTCCGATCTCCTCCAGGACCGCCAGGTCATCCTCAAACTGGGTGATTCCGACGGCATCAAGCGTTTCCGAACTCAGTCACCTGCTGAAATCACTAAACTCGCGGAAAGGGCCCGGGTGAAAGCAGCAAAAGCCACTGATGGGCCGACGGTGGCATCGGCTAAATTTGTCGCAGCCAGGCAATTGAAATCGGGGAATATCTCGCTCAGCCTCCGTACTGCGAAGGAAGCGGAGATAATGCGATGCCACCGCCAGTGCTGGGTGAAATATCTAGGGAAGGGGTCGGAAGTGCGACTGCCGAGCTGGGGGGTTGTTATGCATGATGTCAATGTACGATCTCTCGGTATTAACACGGCTGCTGGGATCGGAGAGCAAGGGAGGAAGCAGGGTATCATAAAGCAGTTGCTTACTGAGAACCTGTTTAACTGGGGGGACGATGCAGAAATCACCCAGATTGCCTGGCTTGTCCTCCCAAAGGGCAAGAAATCCGGCTCCTTGATCGCCGAGTTCACCTCACCGCATACTGCAAACAAAGCAATTGACACCGGGACTCTCTGGGATTCAGAGGTGCTTACCACGGTCCTATACGATCGTGCTGAAAAACACATATCTCTGCGCGAATCTAATTTTTGAAATTGCACCACAACGCCGAGGGCTACGGTCCCCATTTTAATTGCAACTTAATTGTAACTTCCGGCTCCATCTCCAGATACCAATTTTATATTGGTGGAAGGTATGGTGGCGCCAGGGAGCCAGTGGCCGCCCCTTTCAGGGGGCCGCGAAAATTCTGCAACCAACATCAATGAGCGCATATTGGATGCCAATTACGACGTGCGCCAGTTGCTGAATCATATCAGCAGTAACAACTCTGTTAAAGTCCCGAGACCAGTATTAGACTATCTCAAATCCATCCAGGAACTCACCACAGACCTGATTAAGAACCCAATTGGCCAGGACTGGAAGCAGCAATTTGAACAACTGCGCCAGGAAACTAGCCAGATAAAACAGGATATCCATGCGGTGAGAATTGCATCTTCGAATACCAATGCCAATGCGCCAAATAGAGTCCGATCGTATGTCGATGCTGTCAAGAATGCACCGCCGCCGACGCATTTTCTTTCGAGTCATGGGTCGGCGTCGACCAGCCCCGCAACGCCTTCCGATCTCCTCCAGGACCGCCAGGTCATCGTCAAACTGGGTGATTCCGACGGCGTCAAGCGCTTCCGGACCCAAACCCCTGCTGAAATCACGAAACTGGCGGAAAAGGCCCGGGTGAAGGGTGCAAAGGCCACGTATGGAGTCACGCTGGCCTCAGCCAAATTTGTCGCAGCCAGACAATTAAAATCGGGAGATATCTCGCTCAGCCTACGCACGGCGAAGGAAGCAGAAATCATGCGATGCCACCGGCAAGCGTGGGTGAAGCACTTGTGGAAGGATTCGGAAGTGCGTTTGCCGAGCTGGGGGGTTGTCGTTCACGATGTAAACGTACGGTCTCTCGGGATACAAACGGCGGCGGATATCAGGGATCGGAAGCAAGGGATCATTAAGCAATTGCTCACTGAGAACCTGTTTAACTGGGGGGATGATGCAGAAATCATCCAGATTGCCTGGCTTGTTCCTCCCGAAGGCAAGAAATCCGGCTCCCTGATTATCGAATTTACCTCACCGCACAATGCGAATAAAGCAATCGATACCGGCACTCTCTGGGACTCAGAGGTCCTTACCACGGTCTTGTACGACCGTGCTGCGCGTATACGCCAATGTCACAACTGCCAAAAATATGGCCATATAGGAAACACCTGTTCCAACGAAACCAAGTGTGTCTTCTGCGCAGACAAGCACCACTCTCGGGATTGTCTGGGTAAGAAGAACGCGACACTCAGCGAACGAAAGTGCGCCAATTGCGGGGGCGCACAAAATGGATGGTCGAAGCGGTGCCCCGATTTCATCAGAGAAATCGAGAGAGTGCAGGCTCTCGCACAGGCGAGAGAGAGGCACCACCGGGTGCCAGCATATCTCTCGATGGCTGCCGAAAGGACGCCGGCAGTCACAATAGTGGAATCCGGGAGTTCAGGGGGTAGCGGCCCCAGGACTTCCACGAAGGAAAGCTCTAGAAATGGAGGGCGAAGCCTGACAAAGGCGTCGAATGAAGCACCAAGCTCAGGCCAACCGGCAAGTAGCAGCAACGAAGAGGCCGAATCATCGACAGACTTCGAGATGCAGGGGACACAAGAGCCCCAACCGGAACGTCGGCCAGAATCTAGACTCCAGGCCCAACAGGCCAAGGATACACCACGCGGGCATGCCTTCATGGCAGGAGATACCCAGGCGGATGAAATTGGGGAGTCAATTCGTCAGTCAATCCGCCAGCCGATACGAGGACTCAACCAGTCAATACACGCGCCGCCAACAGGGACACGCTCTGAACCGCCGAGGCGTAGAGCACCAAGCCGGATATCAACAACGTCGTCGGTTGCCACGACAAGAAATAAAGGCCTTTTCCGGTCGGTGCTCAATGCGAGTGTTAGCGATACAAGCACTGGTAATACAACCAAACGACCTCGAGACGGCAGATATATACGCGAGGACCAGGATGCAATGATATCCGAGCCACCATCCTCATCGGCCCCAGCCGGCTCGGCCAGTGAATACCAACCATCAGTGCTACCCCGCACCAGCGGGAACAGACGCACGACAGCCAGCAAACAAAGAGCAGCTGGCAAGGAGAACTCAATCTTTAACACCAGTGCACCAATACATACACCGGGCCCACGAGGCAAGAATAAGCGTACGCTCGGAGATCAAGTCAACTTCACAATGTCAGCCCCGTCGGTGAAGTTCACCAACAGAGCAACCATGCAGGAAGAGAGAAGGACTCGCCAATTCACCAAGAAACATACCGAGACCACCTCCAATGATTAATACACCACTCACCATCATCCAATACAACACGCACCGATCGAGAGATGTCGTCATGGCGGACTTCTTGGCGAAACCGGAAGTCATCCGGGCAGACATCATCGCAGTGCAGGAACCATGGGAGAACCCGTATAATGATACCACATATCATCCACTGAAACAGACCCACGAGCTGCTCTTCCCGTCGAGCTCAGAGACAGGAGGGAGAGCCCGGGTATGCATATATATATCGAAGCATCTAACTGGGTGGACGCACTATGCACACAGTGAATTCTGCCAGGAGATGAGGATCCAGACCAAGATCGGCGAGGTCTGCTTCTTCAATATATATAATGAGTGCGGCACTACCGGCACGGTGGAACATCTCAACAAATTGCTAGATAGCAACAGAAAACGCACCATGATTGCAGGGGATTTCAACCTTCACCACCCTGCATGGGGAGGCATTGACGCCACACAAGACCTAGGCGCTGATAGGCTCATTGAGCTCTGTGACGAAGCAGACTTTGACCTGTGGCTAGAACCTGGTGCAATCACTAGGGATCAAAATGGAGAACAAACGACAATCGACTTGTTCTTTGGCACACCAGATCTCACGGAGAGATTGGTGGTGTGTGAACTGGCATTGGAATGTCATGCAGATTCAGACCATCTACCGATCCGTGTATTACTCGATATTGACACCGAACCGGCCACCGAGGCACAGAGACGAAG